ATAAATTACATTATTTGTCCCAAAACTTTGCGCATTGATTAATGTAACACTCTCCTTTCTGAGCTACCGAAGAAAAGCTTTAGAGGTTTACAGATGGTACAAAAGGCAGCTGCTCACATTTTAACCAACAATGAGAAATATGAGCACATTACTCCAATACTGAAATCTCTTCACTGGTTACTTTGTCAAGTTTGAGCAGGCTTTCAACGGTTTGGCGCCCTCATATCTCTCTGACCTTTTACGGACGATACCTATCAACACCATTACTGAGACTAACCACCTGATCCTGTCACGGCGAATAGAGTGAACCGTGTGGGGAAAGATAAATGAGGATCCACACACAGGCACTCGCTGAAGGTGTGAAGGTGGTTTATTGTAGAACAAAGGTGCGAATGGCAACACGGAACAAAACTGATCTACACTGAAACAAACTAAACTATTGAGCAATACAAGGCCAGACTGACCAACCTGTGCACTGCCTGGATTGATTACAAGAATTGGATGGTCCATATGACTGCATCCCCCACACCCGAGATCCTAAAAGCTTCACCAGGAACTCAATGGGGATGTGGCATAAAATACTAGAGGCCAACTTCAAGTCAATAGCACAAGTCACCACAAGCTTCTCCAGCTTCTCATGTTCCTTCTTCCTGATGTTGCTGTCATTCGGTATCGCTACATCTGTCACCACAGCCATCTTCTTCTGCTTGTCTACCATCACTATGTCTGGTTGGTTAGCCACCACCATTTTGTTCATCTGTGTCTGGACGTCCCACAGGATCTTAGCTCGGCCATTCTCCTCCACCCTAGGGGGCGTATCCCATTTTGAGCTTTTGACTTCCAGGCCATACTTGGCACAGATGTTTCTGTATACTATGCCAGCCACTTGGTTATGGCGTTCCATGTATGCCCTGCCTGCTAGCGTTTTGCTGCCATGTGCTGGATATTCTCAGGGGCATCTTTACACAGCCTGCACCTGGGGTGGCTGAAAACTGCTCCATTCCATAGCCAGACTTGTCAATGATCTCACTGAGGGGGTTCAGGACTATGCAGAACAGCAGTAGGGAGAGGTCATCACCTTCTTACATCCCACATTTGATGGTGACTTGTGCTATTGGCTTGAAGTTTTACTTGCATCTATTTGAAAAAGTGAGTTTAAACAAAACAAATTATATGCTGGAATATGCAGAAAATAGATTTAAATGTTAAACAAATTTCTTGCATTCAGAGAATGTTGGATATAATTTAGTTTTTGCTTGGTACAATGTGCATAAAGTTAAAATATTAAAACTAATGAAATGAGTTTTAAAAAGAGAAATTTTCATTTCATGGAATTTTATATAATGAAATATGCAGAAAAAAGAGAATTGGACTGAAATGTCTATTGTTTTATAACATATTCAGGTTGTGTATTATGTTTTTAAAAGCAACTAAGTAATAAAGTAACTAATTACTTTTGAAAATAAGTAATCAGAACACTTTATTAAAGGAAATTGTGTAAAGTAACGGGATTACTTTATTGGAGAAGTAATCAGTATTAGCAACTAATTACTATTTTCAAGTAACTTGACCAACACTGCTCATAGATATTTACAATCTTTATATTTGAAGATATTCCTAAATTAAACGAATGCGCAGAGAAAAATGCTCCTTAATTCATGTTGAAGAGAGGTGCTCCCGACTTATTTATTTATTCATTGTCAAACTAATAATGACATGACAGAGATGACTGTCGATTTTAGAAATCAAACATGTGCTCAAGCTTAAATTAAAAACGGAGTTCAGATTACAGTCAGATGCACAAAAGCTGCTTTTTTGACGCTATAGGATCACTGGGACCGTTCCGGGCGATGTAAGCTTAACGTCTGTGCGGAGTCGCTGTCCTGCGGGAGATTTTCTGCGCGTTTTTCTCTGCAGAAAATCTGTATGCGATGCCATCACCTCATGATGGAATCCACTGGACTTACAGGGGTGGGCATTTTTCATTCAGTGTGTCTGAATTAGTTTTTAAAGAATTTAATGCATAGTTGTATTTTTAATCACCTCAAACTGCGCTTTCATGGATGTTGATGCGTGGTGCGTAAAGCGTAGAGACGTTTATTTTGCAACAGAAATACTCAACAAATAGCATTTTTGAAAAATAAAAATAAAGTGATTGAAATGAAAATTGGGTTATTACTGTTTATTCACAAAGATCAAATTCTTTTGACTGCTTGGTGTCCTGGTTTAACGCGCTGTGCGTTATTGGACCAATACTTTTCGTTTAACGGCTGGTTGGCTCTTGTAAAAACCATGGACCATTTGGTGTACAGCGCAGCTACGATTCTGGCAATGAATGTTATTTGAAGATGCAACATTATTCTGCTGAACAAGTCCACTGCGTGCCAGGGAACCAGCAACATGTGAGCTGGGTGGTTAATCCATTTCAAAGAAGGCTAATGTAAATCCAAAGTTCAAACAGTGTCAGTCTGTACAGATGCACAGAAAGGACCACACCACAGGTTTTTCTGCCTGAACTATCAAAGCATAAATTTACGTGGAGGTTGAGGTAGAATTTCCATTTTTTGAAATCCCCTCATTTATGTATAGTTTCCATGACTGCCATTGCTTTTTGGAAAAGTCACCACTGTATCACATCAACAGCACTGTCAACACTGAAAAGAAATGCCTGCTGCTGAAATAAATGTAGGCCAAGCCTTTCCGGCTATGTAAAGTATTCATGATTTGTGATGATATATTTGTGTCAGTTCAAATCGACCTACCTCCCAGTATGAAAATCACTGAGGGACTCCCAGGAAAGTGCACAGCTGTCCAGATGCACCTGCACTGGGGCGGCTGGGACTTGGAGGCCAGCGGAGCAGATCATGCCATAGATGGGATCCGCTACATGGCAGAGGTAGGCTTACAAAACACAAAGGTTGTCCACTGCAGTAAAGCCAGGTTTTAAAGAACGTCCGTCTCATGCTCAACCAAACTGGGATCAATTATAGGTGCAGAAGTTTAAAGGGATGATGGGTTTCATCAGAGTGAATTCTTTTAACAAGGAAACCAGAATGACCTGCATCTATTAATCAGCCCTCTTTTTTGAAACCACTTCTAATCTGCACACAAACAAATTTCTTGCTTCCTGTTGAACCGTTTCAAGACTTTCTTTCATTTCATCAAACAGCTGAAACAATCGAAAGTTAGTAAATGCATTTCTATCTCCCGATAGTCTTCAGCTACACGGCAGCAGAGTGAATGAGTGCTTGTTTCCACCGGGCTGCTCTGGATCTCAGACGGCCTGTAACCTTCAGCTATGAGACGCTTCCTTTCCTTTCCTTTGAGAGGTCATCGCCGCAGCAACCCACAGCTGGCATCCACTGTGATAGCAGCAAATAATTAAGATGCATCCAAGTGAGAGTTTACATAAAACTGGGACTTTATTTTCACTTCTACAGCACTTTACTCATAAGTTAATATCTGACATCTATCAAAGAAGGAACATTAAACAGTCAGAATGACTGAAAAATATAACATATCTATAAAAACATGACCAAAACTGTCAGATGTGTGCAACCATTACAAGTGAGTTATTGAATATCTGTTTAAAAAAAAAAAAATCAACTTTTTTTTGGTTTCTAGCTGTTTAGAAAACAGGTCAATAAATCTGGAGTTTTGGTTGCATCAGTGCCTTTTAAGTATGTTAAATACAATTTAATGATAAAGCTTAAAGCAACACAAAGGTTCTAAAAAACTGTAATAATCCTCTAAAGCCTGCATTTATGGGATCAAGTCACAATGATCTCTTTTCACTGAAACTTTAAGCATCAATGTTACACAGCTTTGTTTTATTTTCTTTCCAGGATGGCCATTTTGAGAACACCTACTATAGTGATTTTATTGCAAACTTGAAGAAAATCAAGTATGCTGGTGAGTTACTCACTAAAACAAACAAACAAAAGAAAAAACCCACATTGCTCTACTTGGGGTCAGAATCCAAATGTGACCTCTAGCTGAGCCATAACTCACTGGTTTAGTTTAACGTGGTGTTTGTGTAACCCTCACAGGTCAGTCCATGAACATATCCAACCTTGATGTCCGCTCAATGCTCCCCGAGAACCTGAAGCACTTCTTCAGGGCTCCCTCACCACTCCGCCCTGCTACGAGAGCATCCTCTGGACTGTGTTTGATAACATCCATTGACGACAGTCATTCGGGTGCTTGCTCATCTTACAAGCTGCCAAACATATCTACATGTAAGGGATGGCTGAATTCACTTTGCAGTGTTTGCTTCTTTCGTTTTTCTTTCCTTTAGGTGGATTTCACAATTCAAGGTCTATCAGATATGGTGGGTGGTTTTAAAATTTGATATTGATCTGCAATTAAAGTTAGATTGGTGATTCTCCAGCCTGATTCTTTTTTTCTGTTGTCCTCAGAAACTGGCTCTTTGTTTCCTTTGATGCTCAATTTCCAGGAGAAAGATTCTGGCAGTTATGCTTTGGCCAGACCAAAACTGAGCATGTACGGAGGGGTGCAGCTGGACAGTCAGTACAGATGTTCCTGATGCTTCTGTTTGTATGAGCTTCAACATGCTGCAACAAGCCAGAATATCATCTGTTGATGTTGGGGATTTGATTGAATTGTTGGTGAAGGGTTTATGGTATGTTTTACAAAGGATAAAATGCTTTTCAAGGCGCCTACAGGCCAATATTAAAAAGACGTCACAGCTTGAGCCATGTACTGCATTCATATGTCATCAATAAAAGCTTACAAGAGACCTGCCGTCTGCTCACTGACTCCTTCACACGTCCTTAACGCTGCATCTAGTGCACTCACCGACTCACAGCAAACCTTAGCCTGCATGGAAATCTACCAACATCTGCAGGCACAAATACAAAGAAAAGGCACACAGAGGCATCTAAAATTAAAACACTGTCAAGTCTTCTACCACACACACACTCCCTCGCTCCACACCCGCAGCGAATACTTCCTCTTCTATCAATGTTCTCCTTCTTTCTTCAGAAGGGCGTGGCCTTCTGTGCATCCTGTGGGCTCTCTTTGAGGTCTTTTGGTGGCAGATCGCCGTCACCCAGATTTAACTCCACTTTGTTCCTCTTTGCAAACATCTGGAAGACCTCCAGGAAGGTCTTCTTCTTTGTTTCGGGCACCACCAGCCAGATGTAGATCAGGGTGACCAGACAGATGACGGCAAAAATGATGAAGCTGTAGGGGCCCAGGCCTCGCTGGGGAGAGAAGGAGAGGAAATGTGATTTCTGGGTCCTCGACATGAAATGTAAATATGTCAGGAAGACAAACAGAGCAAACAAGGTGAGGTCAAAAGTGAAACACTGCTCTTTATAGATGTTTCACAAGCATCTTCTTCCCTTGATTACACTTTCAGGTTTAAACTTGTAAGAGGAAGTAAACATGAGATGAAGCTTATGTTTATATCTAAGATCACGTCATTCAGTGAAAACTCCTACACATAATGTGTCCTTATTTAAGATTTTACAATATGTTTTCTGGTGTTATAATATTCAAGCTCCGACATTATGTTTCAGGTGTTGTAAATGCAGTAAAAAATGTTTCTGGTGCTCTCTGCATGTTTGCATTCCTCATGTATCTTCCTCCTCCTCATTGCCTATGTTGTGCCTCTTCTTGTCCTCCTCTTATTTTGTTTTCTCTGTCTGTGTTTGTGTACGAGGAGTAGGTGAGCCACTCCCTTTCCAGTTTTTCCCACTTCACTCGACGACCGAAACCAACACTGTTCTCTTGTGCTTAGATCCACCAGCTTCCCGCCTGCCTGCCTGTTTTAATCAGCTGCTTTGATCACCCCGGGCTCCAGTCTGCCCTGTTTACTGTGAGTCAAACAACAAGCCAGCTTTGCACACAGAAACTGTTCCTGACTAGTTAAGCAGCCAGCAACACTAAGCCATCCACCTAAAATAAACTCCTTCTTTTCTTCACATGCACAATAAATGTTCTAAGTGTCACCTAAAGGTGGAGTGTGCATCAGTTGTGATAGGTCCAAACTGTATTCTCTAGCATGACAGCAATCAATAATAAACAGGAGGAACCAACTGGTTTTTTTTTTTGTTCTCAGTTTGATACCTGAATCAAACTTGGTGCTGAACCATTAGGAAAATGTTGCAAAAGGAAAAAATATATCTGAAATCTACTTTTTCTACTTTACCTGAGCACTCGAAGCACTTTATACAAAACGCTTAATTTGCCAATTCCAATGAAGACTTTTTTCTCTCTGCTGAAGTGCTTTCTATCTGACACTCACTGGTTTCTTCAGCTCTGCCACCTCCAGCTCAGCCTCCTGACTTTTTCTTAGCACCACAGTCTCCAAACCATTCATCATAGCAGGTCTCACTACCATCTTGTAATCTTTCCCTTTCACTCTTGCTGCTATCTTGTTATAAATCATCCTTGACACTCATTTCTAGCCACTCCACCCTGACTGCAATCTACTGCAATCCTCTCCTCTCTTACGCACTGTTTGTTGCAGCATATTCTTTACTTAATTCTTATATTTGTGTTGCAAGGATGAAATGCAAACGAGTGCACTTAAATCTTTTCTAAACAGGTTAATCCCTGTTTAGAAAAGCAATCCCTTGTTTGCAAATCTATGCAAATTGCAAAGAAAATATCAAAGTAATCCAATTCTAAGTGGCATAAAAGATCACATTACAGTGAGGATGTGGGGGGAACTGCCTTGCTGGTTATGCTCGACAAAACATCTGGAACTAATTCCACTGAAGTCTGAGCCTGCAGCAATTGAGAAACTAACCTCGAGGAAGGGGAAGACAAGGCCAACAATGAAGTTGGAGAGCCAGTGGACGGAGCCGGCCACCATGAACGCCGCAGGCCTGGCTGTTTGCCGGAACATCTCAGTGGCCACCACATAAGGAATGGGACCTGCAGAACAAAAATGCAATTAACCACAACCAAAACACTCGAGACAGACATCATCAGTCTTCACAGTCAGAGAGGATGCTCATGTCTCAAACAAACTGAGTGCTGATGTACAAACTTTGATTATAAGCCTGGTTACATCTAAACAACACTTCAGCTAATGGAGCGCCCTGCTGTAATCAGTATGTGTGTAAATACCCACAGGTCTACTCAGACAGACTCACTCGGTCCTATGGCATGTCCGATGACGTAGATGATGACAGAGGCGATGCTGACATAGGGCATCCATGTCACAGTCTCCTGCAAACACAGACAAGCAGCTCTCAGTAACTATTCCTTCTGATGTTTGTAAGCAGGAGCAACAGTAACGGCTCCACATGGAGGCCTTGAGGATCAAAGGCAGATGATTAATGTGCCTACTCTCCATTGTGTCTCTAAATTGTGCCTTTACTGCTGCTGAAAATGACGCCTGTCTGAAAACATTGGCTCCAGGTGAGGTTGCAGGTTTGAAGGAGGGCAGCACTGCGTTGGCGGTTCTCTCTAATAGTCAGTGTTTAGTGTCAGGTGTCATGGCTCCTGCAAATAAAGGGGCCAAAATATCACTTTACTGTCTCAGACCATGATGGGAATCCTAGACGTACAACATGATTACAGGCTGGTAATCTGTAGCACAGTGACACCGTTTGTTATTTTGGCTTTTTACTGGTTGTGTCTTGTTTAATTATTTTGCCAATCTGTCATCATGTCAGATTCTGCTGTTCCTTAGCTGTCCTGCAGGAGTTCTCACTGTGGCTTTTCAGAAATGGCCAAAACATGGGGATAAAGTGCAGGTGAAATTAAATCAAACATAAAGAGATGTGGGTCTCCACACCCACCTGAATCCAATTTCCTGTTATTTATCATGTGCCAGATGTTTGGTTTAGCTTTTAAAAAACAACAACAACAAAAAAAACAAAACAAAACAAAACACCAGAAGCCCTTCTTGACACAATCCCAAAGGGATTTGGGTCTCCTCCCTATACTGAACTGGGATCTTTTGCCTGTTAGTCAGATGTATAAACCACTACACTATGGAGACAGAGATGTTTTTATATATAATGTCTCATTTTTAGGAAACACAAAAGTAATTAGACAGCTGACAAACAGTTGCATAGTTAAGTGTGGCCTGTACCCTTTTACAAATTAAACTGATAACATATAATCTTAATTTACTGCCAACAGCCACTAATCCTTTCAAAAAAAAATCCATATCATCGTTGTGCATATCAGTTTCAACATCTACAATCTGGAGACACCTTCATGAATGGAAATAGAGGATTTATAATATCACCCTGGTAATAACCCTGGCAGGTTTTAGATCTCACCCTGGGTCAACACACCTGAATCAAATGATTAGTTTGAAGCCCTCCAGTCCTCTGGAGGGCTTCAAGACATGTTGAGGAGGTAATTTAGCCATTTAAATCAGCTGTGTTGGATCATCTAAAACCTGTAGGACACTGGCCCTTGAGGCCTGGAGTTCCCGTCCCCTGTTTTATAACAAGGTGCGAACTACTGGTTACACTCAAGAACAGGAAGGCCGGATTAGACTAAACTCTAAAAGGCCTGCACAGATCTGGAAAAAAAAATCTTGGGATAAATGAAAGCAAGATGAACCAGAATGACGGAAGAAGAAAAAAAATGGAGAAGCAGAGAAACAGTTCTGGATCTGAAGCATACTGCACCATCTGTCAAACATGGTGGAGGCAATGCTATGGCATGGGCATGAATGACTTGAACCAAACCACTGGCGTTTGTTGCTGACATGGCTGCTGATAGAAGTAACAGGACAAACTGTAAAGTGTACAGGGCTATACTCTGTGCTCAGATTTGAAGTGCTCAGACAATGTTTCACAGTAGTTTGATGGCCAATCTCAACCCAAGCACAGCAGCTTTGCAGTTTTAGTATATGTACAACTATGTATAAAACGTATGCAACTTCTGAACAGCGATTGGACAAGTTTTCGTAAAACTACTTGATTAAAATCTGAAAATTTGTATTTGATTCATACGTCATTTACAAACATGTAAAGAGGCAAAACTACAAAAACCTGTTTGACATATTATTGACTAACTGTCCACAGTAGAGGCCTTTGCAACAGTGCAGGTTCAAACTGGGACCCACGTTCTGGACTCTAAGTAAGCCAAAAGTCTGTCCACTCTGAGTTAAATGCATGAAAGATGAGTGGGGGAAAAAAGCCATAATCAGTGGTGGTCTCAACAGCAGTAGAGTGCCTCTATTTTAATGCAGTGGGGTTAAAACTATGGAGTGGACTAACGCCTTCATAATGTTAAATTTTATTCAGTGCTTTTAATTAATTAATTATTCAACAGAGCTGTAACCCAGTGGGGACAAAGTGTAGGTGAGAGCAGAAAATTAAAATCACACAGATTAAGATGAAAATTTTAAAGGCCTGTTGCTGTAGCCTTGTAGGAATGAGGATTTTGGTGGCTGCTGTTGGAAAAAAAAAGAGTGTCCTGGTTATCCAAAAATATGCTGAACAATGACTTAAATTCAGTAACATAGAAGCATAATATGTGAAATGCTGTTAAAATTACAAGCAGCTCACATTTACGAACTCACCTCTAACTATAATTAGTACATTTTTAGACTATAGCTGCAATTAAATCAATCTCACGAGGCGTTACTCTCTGATCCACTGATCCTGAGATCATAAACAGGATCTTGCAAATCTCCTCTGATTCTTTCCAGGTTGGGGAACTAATAACTGAACCACTAGAGAGCAGCAGAGTGACAGGTTGCAGGCATTAGTAGCGCTGACAGGTCTGTACCATACCTGCAAGTTGAGTGCGACAGTGAGCAGCACACAGGCTCCGCAGCAGATCCCAAAACCACAGAGGAGGAGCAGGCGGCGACCTGAGGCTTCCACGATGAACACCTGGGATGACAAAACCCCCGTTCACAGTGGTTATCTCCATCTCACATGATCAAACAGCAGACAGACAAACAGCTCCTCCCCTCAGTTTTGCTGGGTACCTACAGCAGTTATGGTCATAAAGACATTCACTGCTCCCGTTCCCACTGTGACATACTGGATGTCACTCTCCCTGACTCCTGCAGAGCCGTATATGCTGTCTGCATAGTAGTAGATCTGAGAGAAAAGAGAGAAATGCATTATGGTTATAACACGACAGCCTGTGAATAAGCAAGAACATAGATGTTGTCATGCATCCTGAGTTATTGTGTGAGGGACGAGGACAACTGGATGGGCACGTCTCACCGCATTGACACCCGACAGCTGCTGGCCCATGTTCATGACGACTATGGAGATCAGCTGCCAGCGAAGAGAGCGCTGGGACAGCAGGGAGAACACACTCAAGTGACCTTCGACCTTCTCGGACTGGTCCTCCTGACGCATCTCCAACAGCTCGCTATCCACGTCATCCCACCCACGCAGGCGCTGCAGTGCTAAGAGTGGAAATGCATACAGTACCATAAATGCTCAGTTTATCTTCGATGTGTAGTGTAGTTATGTGCGAAATGTGAATGATGGTGGTGATGATGATGGTGAAACCCTGGGTTTCGGCACCAGTGTGGTGTGAATAAGGCACGGTGGGACCACAGATTGTTATTGAGAGCCATCTTTATTCATTCCACGGCTGCAGGAACACCACCATCATTCACCAACCCGAGTCCCCGTGTTTTAACAGGCAGGCGTGATTGCGGATGCCGTGAAGGTGCGTCCGCACGGCATCGCCGACCACGGCTCACCACAGAGATTTTTCATCAACCCTGCTCAACAAAGATACCGGGGAACTGGTGACACTTGTTGGAGATGTGGGGGAGATGGAGCTAACCATTTCCATATCTTTTGGGATTGCAAAGTTATTCGCCAGTACTGGTCTCTAATCCACGAATGTCTACAAAATGTTTTTTCATTTTTTTCCCTTTAACCTTTGAGATTTTTGTGTAACACACCAGTGGATAAATTGAATTCTAATGATAGAAGACGTTTGTATATCCTACTGGCTGCGAGTAACAAGCCCCTTACGAGGAGATGGTTTAAGCCTGAACCACCAACGATGGAAGATTGGATACATTCTGTACAAGAGACATATACGATGGAAAAATTGTCATTTTCTCTTAAACTTCAGAGGGATACCTTCTACAGAATATGGTCTAAATGAACAGAATACGTTAAGCCTGTTAGGTGTGATTTTTTTATGAACCATGCTTTTTTTTATGTTGATGACATCGCACTTTCTTACCTTTCGTTGCTTTCTTCTCGTCTCCATTCTGGATGAGCATGTACCTGGGGCTCTCAGGGAAGAAGGGGAGCAGCAGGAGCTGAATCGCGGCAGGAATACTAGTAAGGCCAAGCATGAGGGTCCAGCCTGGACACACACAAGGAACACAGATACGCTTTTAAACTTATTCTTAAGACCATGTCTCAGCATCTGATGAATAAATGATCAAACATGTACAAACTTAACTACCTGTGCTGTTTCCCAGTATGTTTCTAATGCCCAGCACTTGGGCGCAGAGGATCCCAACAGTGATGAAGAGTTGCGGAACAATGCCGAGAGCTCCCCTCAGGTTTTTGGGAGCGATCTCACCCAGATACATGGGCACCACATTGGAAGAGAGACCTGCAGATGGGAAAGCATGCACGTGTGAAGCTAAACCGCCTGATCACGCCTGATCCTTAACCTGGACTGTTGTTAAATTCGGGAGCTGACCTGCACAGATGCCTACTATAAACCTGGCCACAATGATGATCTCGTAGGACTTGGCGATCTCACTGACTCCCATCATTATAGCAGGGACGATGGAGAAGATGTTGTTGAAGAGGAGGGTGCCCTTCCTGTAGCAGGGATGAAGCATTAGTTGCAAGAAACATGCAGAGCATGCTAAACTACACGTGGAATGAAGCAGATTCTCACCTCCCAAGTTTGTTGGCCAGAGGGGCCACCATCAGAGAGCCGAAGAAGCCCCCGAGAGGGAACATGGACACGGAGAGAGACCAGAGCAGAGTCAGGACGTTCTCCTCCATCGGGCTGTGGTAACGCTCCATGTAGGTTGTATTATAAAACTGCTGCATGAACTGAAAAGAGCAGGAGAGCACTGATAGGAACGAATTATCTTCCCAGCGAGTTCCATTCAAGCTTTTCTTTCTTTAATCAGCTTACCTGCGATGGAGAGTTGACCACAGAGACATTATAGCCGTACTGGAAGGACGAACCAAAGGCAGCTATGAGTGTTGCCAGCACCAGGACTACAGTTAGCCTCTGTTTTTTGTTGGGGAGAGGGGGACAACATCAGAGCGCTATTTGAAAAGTCAGAAAAGAAAATTGTGACCATGGTTGTGATCACACGTGGACTGTAACTCACCCCTTTCCTCTCCACAGGCTTTCCCCATTCCTCGGTGTCCGCCATGGCCGTGTTTGGGCTCGCTGTCACTTTCAGCAGTAATAACAGCACACTTTATTATTACTGCCCACTGGATCCTGCCTGCCCTTTGGACACCAGATTAGAGAGCGTGGCATTGGTTTATGGTTATCGCACTCATGTTGCTGACTGTGCTCTCTGGTTAATTTTTTTTTATGTAATACACCTGAAAGATTAAAAGCTTACTTGAATGTTGATATCTAACTCTTATATTGCACTGTATCCTTGACTAAACAGGATCAGTGGATGCAGCTGTCATTAAAGAAAAAAATGATAAGGATAACGCATCTTTATTGCTGATCCATGCGCAGGCTGCACTGCATCAGATGGATTTATTAAAATAATACAACAGCAACAACTTCAGCATTTACTGTCAAACAGTTTGAAAGGTTTATCTGCTTGCACCTCTCATCGATGACACTAAAAAACTGTTTGTTTGTTCGCCCTTGCACAAACACCACAGCTGTAAACATTTCTTTTCCCAAATGTTTGCTTTGTCAGAAATCTGTCATGCACACCATCATCTCTTATCTCTAAAGCCGAGCCTGCTTGTCGATACAACGCCCCTGAGGCTATTTGCTCCTGGAGCTGGATGTTACTTGCTTCAAAGCACAAACAAACAAACAAACCAAAGAAAAAAAGCAAACAATTACATTTCAGAACTACTTCTGCTCAGAGTAAACTATTATTGAGGCAGTCTTGGAAGAATAGACTGAGTTTTACTGAAATAAAATGAATGAAACCAGAGTTTGTTTTTATACATGAAGGTAATAAAAAGCAGTAAATGTTTACTACACAGTTGCGCTATTTTAAATTTGCTGTTTTAGAGAAAACTCTTTTTATTTTAAATAGAATTATTTACATAAAGTAACAGGTTTCATCAACAGGTTCATTTTAGATTTTAAAACATGCAAATGAGGCCTTTTACTCCTTTGGATACAAAGAGGTTTGGCTTGGATGGCAGTCAAAGAGCTTGAAACTTTAACAAATCTGACATAAGATGTGATAAAAAGAATTCCAGCTACTCAGACGAGCAAAAATTATGGAGACTGTTACCAACCTCCCTCAATTCGTATCAAGATGCTGACATTTTCTACATTGTTCACATTATCAGTGTAAAACTACAGCAAAAAGCTGTGGTCTGGAAGTGAAAGGTTAAGGCCTTGAAGTAAGGTTGGAGCAGGGTTATGGTGCTTTGATAGCATAAATTTTAACATTATGGGGGTTTACATATAGAACCAAGTGTAACCTTTATTAGGTTACACTTGCAGGTTCAGTGCAGGTTCACTTCCAGTTTAAAACCTTACTCCCATGTTTAAAAAAAGATTTACAGTCAGTTCAAGGGGTTAACATGCACATATCAGCACAGAAACATGCACACAACACTGCCGTAATAAAATGCTATCATGATAATGACAGTGTTGTGGAGATATGTGAAGGTGTTACTGTGAGGGTTGCAACAACAA